GATGTGATTTCTTTCTACACATCCCAATTTCCCTTTATGGTTGCTGCTTTCTAGCGCTTCGTTATATCTAACTTCATTATCGTCGAATATTTCATTGTTACTGGAGTTGGTCTATAATTTATATTGTAGCGATTTATGCAAATTGCCAAGTATTCTTTTATGGTTTGTTGACACATGATTCTGCGGAAATAACTGAACTTGTAGGGAGATTGTTACTATGGAGACTCAGATTTATCTCGGATATTAAAACAAAAACAAAAACAATTGTATATACAGAGACGACGGGATAATTCTCCTACGTAATTTAAGACTCAGACAATGAGACTGGATGAGAAAGGACCCGATTAAATTCTTTAAGGAACATGATCTAAACATTGCCACCAATAACAACACCAAAATGATTAATTTCTTGGACGTTACACTTGATCTAAGTAAAGACATGTATAGACCATACACTAAGGATTCCTACAACCAGAAGACAGAAGATTAATGTCTACGTTCTATTTCTGCGGATATCTTAAGTTTATTCTTGTCAGAGATGAAATGTGATTCAAAGTATCTTTTGAGACCAGAATGTATTTGTCAGTGGTTGTGTTATATTATCGAGATTTTAACACATTGTCTCTGATCCTTGGTTTCATCAATTTAATTTCCAATTTTCCGGATATATTGGTTTCTCAAAGAATTAACTTTTATACAAATTTTCTTAGTTAATTTATTGGTATTTTCTATTCCAATTTTTTTTTTCTGATTCTTTTTGTTTCGATCTTCTATTTTTTTTCAACTCGTTACCATCTCAAGAGTGTATCTTTTTCATTCTAGGTCTTCCTGGGTTGGTCTCACGTGCTTCAACTAACAACAATATGATAACATTAGTAGATTCCTCTATTTTTTTTTCACCTAGATTTACTGACATCAATTTGGACACTAAATTATTACTAAATTCTAGAAGTACCTTTTAATTACATCATCATCATCATGGCTTGGCTTCGTAAAACGATGATCACGAGGGAGTCTGTACCCGTCGCTTGCAGGTACGTTTATGACTGATAAGTCCAATGCGGGACTGGCATACACGGCCGCAGTAGTTGCAGCTGAAAATCTGGCGCGGGCTCGATGGAATGGCGTTGCAGTTCTTCCTCTGCCTCTTGTCCCTGTGAGAGGTCCTTCAGGTATTTTCAAAGATGGAGACAGCATGGTTGGTGGTGAGACGACAGGCGTCGCATTTCTCAGCTACGGTTGACCATCACCAATGGTTGATGTGACAGTCACCAAAGGATTTTTTCAGGCAATGTTTGAATCGCTTCTTTGGTATCCATCTGCCACGATAGCCAGTGGAGAGCTCGCCGTACAATAAAATTTTAGGCAGGCGATGATTCTCCATTCTGGAAACGTGTCTAGCTGGGACTTCAGCAGCATGGCCTCAATGCTGGTGATCTTCGCTTTTTCAAGGACTTCAGTATTGGTGACGAAGTCACTCCTGTAGATGTTAAAGATTGTGCGGAGGCATTGCTGGTGGAACCGTTCAAGGAGTCACAGGTGGTGTCGGAAATATTGCATAAGATCCATTAAAATTACTTCCGGTCAGAATCGGTCTGGAATTACAGGTAATTTATTGAAATTCGTAATGAAAGTAAAATATTGTCCAAAACTGTAAGATCCGTGAAAAATACCTCAAGACAGAATCGATCGTTTTAATTGAGACACTGCCCGGCTTGAATTGGATTGAACTTGCAATTATTATGTTAGCAAATTCGCGAACCAACGATTTAATCCACTAGTCTGTTGTCCCATGGTCTCACTGGGCGAGCAATAACTGAACTGTAGTAAAATTAAGAACTAGACGAGATAACCCTAGGCAAGGGCAGTGAAACGAGGACAATCTGTCCCGTGGATTAAATAACGGGGTTATGACAAGTTTCGGGTCTTTCAACATCATACTTGTTCAGCCAAGAAACCCCTACCGAAACAATACCAATTCCGGCAGGCGATCCTGAAGCAAAAACCCACCAAGCACACAACAGCGGACATATTAAATAACTTGAAATGGCAAGCGACCAATCAGAAACGCCCTACGTCACTTCCTCCACAGCCACAACTGAATGCTCGCCTGTTCCCTCTTAAGTCCAACATGCGAAAAGACCCACTCTCTCAACGAACACTGCTTGACATAATAGTTAAGTAATTTGTACTTGTCGCCAGGAATATTTTTTATCTCCTATGAAACGATACTTCAATAAAAAAAAAAGTGTTTATACACATTAGTTGGTCATAGGAATTATGATCAGAAATTATGATCAAAAACGTTTCTTGCTCTTCTTTTTCCTCCACCCCTATTTTATTTCTTCTCTTTCCCTTCCCCCTCTCCCCTTCCCCCTCTCCCCTTCCTGGACAAAAAAGGAAAAAAACAACGTACTATAAACACCAAGACGATGTCGTCTTACAGGTTAAAATAAAGAAAAAAATTGGCCCTCCCCTCAAACAGCGACTTTGGTCATCC